CAAAAGTTTTTTTTTTTTTTTTTTTTTTGTGCACAGATAAAATTTTTTGACAAATGTGTTTCCATTTTAGTTTATGCACATTTTTTCTTATCAGATAAATAAAAAATATATATAATAATATCCACCATAACTGAGCACATATACCAGAATTTGCATATCAATGGATTATTTTTAGATGTATGTAGGAAGTAAGGATACGATTATTATAACATTTTCCCCCTTTTTTTGCAATGAGGAAAATTACTCATCAGACTTTTATCACTCTTCAAAATTGTGTCATTCACTAAAGAAGGATATATCCAGCTATCATGACCATACAGTACCTCAGTGTAGCAATGTTCCCACTAAAGGCCAATTCACACCGCACAGACAAACGCCAACAAACACCAACAAACAAGTTGGCTCAAGTTGGCTGTTAAATTTAGAATTTTATTAAAAATAACTGTCATGTTCACATTGCCCCAACAAACACCAACAGACTTCGAGTCACAGAGAGTCAAGTAACACCGTGTCTACACCGGACGCGACAATTGTCGCATCACGCCACATCCAGTGTAGACAGTGTCACTTAATATAATCAATAGAACCTCTATTGTATTTTGTCGCGTCCGGTGTAGACGGAGTATGTCTGATTGGGGACGAAACTGATGATCCTGTAAACACAATCAAAATTTGACTGTTATTAATGTCTTTGCGTGTCATTCTTCGCCTGAAAAGACGGCGAATAAAACGAAAAAGACCGTGGGTGAAACATGCTTTAAGTGAAATATGCATGGCATTGTCATGGCCAGATTACGTCAGCGTTTGTTGTAGTTTGTTGGAAAACCATTTCACACTGCTCAGACATTCCACGACCCAACAAATGCCGATTAAGCATGTTCAGTCGGGTGAAAACAAACTCCAACCAACACCAACAGATGCCAACAGGGGTAACACACTGACCCAACAGACTAGTTTGTTGGCGTTTTTCTGTGCAGTGCAAATTTGCCTTAAGAGGTGCTTTGTAAGGTTCGGAAATGATATATTGCCTAGCAATTCTGGTTTTATCAGACAACAGAATCCTCAAGAATCCAACAGAAAAGCTTGTTAGTGTCTTAACATGGCTTCAGGCAAACATTCCACAACTGGGATGTGAAATGTTTCTTCTTTCCACCCAGCCAGATTTATGAGGTGGGCATGCTGTTGTTATCTCATACATTGTCATATCATAAAACTTGACAGAAGGAAAACTCTAAGTCAGTTGTTATAGGGTGTTATGACCTCTCTTATTAGAAATAGACTGACAGTTCTGGGCAGATTTGTCCCAGATTTCCCCACATTTTAGATTTTAAACTTTGGCCCATAACTCATCCCATCCCGTTTGTGTCACTGTGTCTGTGGGATTTTTCTGCCCATCACCCAACATCACTGCATGACCTCACTCATCACTGCATGACCTCACTGACGCTCTTGTGTCTGATTTGGATCAAATCCCTGCAGCCATGTTCCAACATTTAGTGGAAAGTCTTCCTGGAAGAGTGGAAGGTGGAAGCTGTTGTGGCAGCAAAGGGAGGACAAAAACTAAAATTAAACGTGCGACAAATACTGTAAATGGTGTGGCATTCAGGTATCCACATACTTTTGGCCATGATCTTTGTCATTCCTGCATGGTAGCACATTGTTATTTTCTGCAGTAGATGCTCACAAGGATGTAGAGAAAAACTAGTACTTTATTTTACAGTCCTATTTACACATATGCGTACTATGTACAGTACTTGTTATAGTAATTACAATAACTGGGTAATACCTAAGTAGTAACCCTGAACCTACCCTTAAACCTAACCATAACCCAAGTTACCTTACATTATCCAGCACTTTCTTAGGTAAGTACACTCTAAGTAGAAGTAAGTGCACACACTGTAAAATAAAGTGCATCTGGAAAACCTCAGGGTTTGCCAAAGTGCAACTTATCATCATGCAGCCAAGAAAGCACACTTTGACATGGGCATCTGTTGACCAATGAAAATTTCAGACATAATGGCCAGTTGTCCTTTCAGATATCCAATTTCTCCTTGATTTCAAACTGACCTGGCACTTTCCACACCTTAAGATGCATCGTATGCATTCACAAAAATGCCCTTTCAGAGCCTTCCCTATAGAGTATACCATTTTGGGGAGATGTGTTGCTATACCTTGCTTGATCTTCCCTTAATATTAAAGAGTTCCTTATCTATATAATACTGTGAGATTTATGTGCTGTAGGTGCAGCTTATTACTCAGTGTATTGCAATGTAATTACTATGTTATTACTACAACAGTTCATAACATCTTGGCAACAGAGCAAATGTATCATCATAATTTTTGTGAAACATACGTGATCAGTTAAGTTTGATCATTAATGCATCAAACATTTATTCATTTCAAATCTATTGTATTCACCTTAATATATTTTACAAAACAATTATAAATGTATCAGTCATAAATTATGGGACTTAACTGATAAAGTCATGCATTTGGGGTCATTTTTGGGAGACTTCATGCCGTCTGTATTTTAGGCACCATGCCTGCTTCATTTTTAAATCCTAACAAGCTCTTTCAATGCTAGAACGGAGCACTCTTCTAAGGGGATATCCCATGGCAACCAAACTGGCAAAAGAATCGTTGCACACAAATTCACACACTGACACACAACTAATACGCACACGCACAAAATACCAGAACACGGCAATCGACTCTTGTTTGGTAGCCTCGGGGTCTCAGTGTGGTAAAGCGATAATCCTATCAAACAACAGGTCGAAGTTTATTATCTGCTGCTCAATACCAGCCACAGGAATACCAGGGCATAGTGGGCCCCTCCAGATAGAACGAGAGAGAGAAAAAGGGAAACTTTTTGCCCTAGTTGGGACATCGGGTCAGTTTCTTTTGGTGCTGTTGTGAATGAAGGCACTGGGTAGTTGGCACAGTTCAACAGTTAAGATCTGTTAAGTCACTTGTGGATACGTTTGAGTTTACCTCTAGCTGGTGACATCTCGACTCACCTGACTACAGAATAAAGACATCTCAGAAGTAAGTTTTTTCTAAAAGTCTGGTAGTTACCATAAAAAATTAATGAGTTGGGAACTCGACTGTCTATTAATTCAAACCTTATGCAATAAGTCTGTATTCAATTTCCGTTTAAGCTCGTAGCCATTTAAAAGCATTTAAAGGATGCATAGGAAATGCTTGCGATTTTTCAAATACTCTGAGAGCCTGAAGCAAACTTGACTCACATTGAATTGCTTACTTTGAATTGTTGTGGTTTAATGGTACTGTTTCTAAATGTATAATGGCTGTTCGTTAAACGAAAACAATGAGGCATCTGAGAAGGGCATAGTGGGCCCCTCCAGATAGAACGAGAGAGAGAAAAAGGGAAACTTTTTGCCCTAGTTGGGACATCGGGTCAGTTTCTTTTGGTGCTGTTGTGAATGAAGGCACTGGGTAGTTGGCACAGTTCAACAGTTAAGATCTGTTAAGTCACTTGTGGATACGTTTGAGTTTACCTCTAGCTGGTGACATCTCGACTCACCTGACTACAGAATAAAGACATCTCAGAAGTAAGTTTTTTCTAAAAGTCTGGTAGTTACCATAAAAAATTAATGAGTTGGGAACTCGACTGTCTATTCATTCAAACCTTATGCAATAAGTCTGTATTCAATTTCCGTTTAAGCTCGTAGCCATTTAAAAGCATTTAAAGGATGCAAAGGAAATGCTTGCGATTTTTCAAATACTCTGAGAGCCTGAAGCAAACTTGACTCACATTGAATTGCTTACTTTGAATTGTTGTGGTTTAATGGTACTGTTTCTAAATGTATAATGGCTGTTCGTTAAACGAAAACAATGAGGCATCTGAGAGTGGTTTTGTTATGCATTAGCATGCAGGTTGGAGACTTTCAAAGCAGTTAGTCACAGATAAAGTTGATGAATTCATCACATTAGTAGGACATGGATAAGAATTAGTGTCTCCATTAAGTCAGTCTGATAATCGGCACGTCTGTCAGGAAAGTTAATGATTCTCATGAACTGCACTTTGTCTGTAGAAAGCAGGTGGTTTAATTGGCTTTAAAGAGAAATTACATGGGCGAGTAGAGCAAGGGCACTTTACACAGATGCTATAGGTAAAATACAAAAACAATAGGTAGTTTTGGTAACACTTTAGTTTAGTGACCAGTTCTTACTATTAAGTAGTAGCACGCACTGAGTCAAAAGTCATAGTTAATAGTTAGTTTAGTAGTGAGAATTGATTCCCAAACTAAAATGTGACTGCAGTTTTTAGTATATGTATTACAAAGCATAGGTTGCCAGAAAACTATTAATCAATTACAATTAGGCTATCTCATATTCTTAAACATTAACTGTAATTGTGTGATAGCTATTATGCAATAGTTGTTGTATAGCTATGTTATAACACCTTATTTCATTAGAAAAATTATACTATTTCTGTACTATATCATACGATACTAGAATATTACTACATAGTTCTGACCAACTGTGTTTCTGCAGAAAAATAATATTTAGCCTGGATTGATTTCACAGTAAAATTCTGAATGCAGTATGTATTTATTTTTATTTTTTAAAGCCCATCAGAAGTATTGTGTTCACCCAAACCTTTCAAATCAGTAACCCTGCACTTGACAGCTGGACAATACAGTACTGGACTGTGGTGGATTATTATCTGACTGTGGTTGACGGCTGTTCCTGTGATGGGGAAGACTGGCCAGAGCACGGTGGACCTCAACTCACCCTCAGACGTGAGGCAGGCGGTCCCGTTTGAGGACCTGGATCACAACAGTGTTCCTGTAGAAGAGGAGAAGGAGAATAAAGTACCAGATAGAGGATCTTGGAAGGGAAAATTTGACTTTCTACTGTCCTGCGTTGGATATGCCATTGGGCTGGGAAACGTGTGGAGATTCCCTTATCTGTGTGGAAAGAATGGTGGAGGTGAGAGAAGACAGACAAAGCCATTACTGTTAGGCTGCTGAGAAGATGCCTGGTTCGATCAATATGCTTTCCATGTTTTTGTCATGAAGGACATTTTCCTGACAACATTTCTGTAATCAATCAATCAACCAACCAACCAATCAATCAATCAATCAATCAATCAATCAATCAGGTTTTTTGAGTAGGTTTAGGGCTGTAGTTGGGGTTTAAACACCATTCTTGTCTGCCTTTGATTTTAGGTATAGTTAATCGTTAGTTTAGGTTTTGGACAAATTAGGACGAATATTGTTCCAGATCCAAGAAAAATATGTTGGTAGAGGAACATGTCCTTCTTGGTAAAATATGCTGATGCCATGATCCAGAAACAGTTTGAGTGCAAATACCAGGAACTAAATGGACATGTGGAATTTACATTGTAGGCTTCTCTGCTGAAAGACCAGAGGTGCGTTTTCCAAAAGTAGTGTTTACCAGCTATGGTTCTCTCATACTTCTGAACAAGTTCTGTCATTTGCAAAATAGCTCAATGATTCAGTGTTTTCCAAAATCAAGGTTCCAAGGAATATTGCGTAGTACAAGCATATAAAAATAAAACAAACAACGGAGAATAAGATCTGTAATTGTAGTAGTTGTAGTCATATTTGTTATTTACAGCAATAATCTGACATTAATTGAGTCTCAATCTGATTAATTAGCTGAATTGTCAGTGACTCTTATAAAACAGCTTATTTTTTATTTTCAGTTTAAACTTTAGAAATATCCCAAATTAATCCAAGATTAATGTTTAAAGGCAAACATGTTGAAGATTAGCAGATAGGCTCTCGATTCATTAAGTGATAAGCTGTTTCCTCTTAAAAGCAGTCTGCTTAAAGTAAGACTTCCATGAAAAAAAAAAAACATTGTCTCCCCCCCTGTGTACCACAGCATGGCACGCTTTTTTTCTAACCTTGGAGACTCCTATTAAAGTGGCTCTGATGAGACTGTTCACATGTTTGATTCAAACTGCATAGAAGTCTTAAATCTAAAAACCTTAAGTACATTTTGTATTACATTGTTTTTAGGAGCTTTTCTCATCCCATACTTCACTACTCTGGTCTTTGCTGGTATCCCACTGTTTCTGCTGGAAACGGCATTAGGACAGTACACGTCAGTGGGGGGGCTGGGAGTATGGAAATTAATACCCATGATGAAAGGTAAGAAATATTCACATACACACTAGCTATTTGGGGACTTCTTAATGAGTACTACTGCCTCGCTGTAAGTTTTGCAACAGCATGAATTGGAATTATAGTCAGTTTGTTTGTTTGAGCAGACTGTGTTATATATAATAACAGCAAAAAATAACAGCATTGGTTGAAATGTGTTCAACCAATGGCAGATAGGGGTTTGTGTTTGAAACTTTTGTAATCATTATTTTTGCAGTTCTGCTTGGTGACTAACAGCACAGAAATGACACACTTCATCTTTAAACACAACTAAATGTAAATCAGTCATGAATACTCTCATACAGATCAGCATTTTAACAGATATGACAATGGTAATGCATTTGGTCTTTGTAGTCTAGATCACATACAGACTTGCTACTGCCAGTGATACACATACATGCATGACTAGGCATACATAAATCCCATAGCATATCTAGCCCTCTATGGGATATCATCATTTATAAATGACGCTAGGAAAATTGCATTTAATATACAATATTAATGTTCAACCAACAACATTTGATTTTAGTGATGTCAAATGACATCCCCTTCAACCAGTAAAATTTAAATGTATTAGCCATGTGCTTCACATTTTTGGTAACTAAGTAGTAAAGGAGATATTAGCACATGTTAGGTCACATGCTCTCAAGGCTCCATAGTGAGCTCATTTTAGACTAGAAAATACATATAAATTCAAGTTATAAAAAATGTAATTGTACATCCAAATGTGTTTTCTAAAAGTTTTTTTTTGTTGTCATTTTTAATGCACGTTTATAAAAACTCAGACACCAACAAATCTAAGCGTCATGCATAACTGACCTATTATGTGATGCATATTTTGTGTAGTTGGCACTATTGATCAGCATTGGAGGGCAGTATAATAGCCTTTATGCAGGTGTTTTAGCTTCATTTTTGTTAGATTTTTGGAAGATGGATAGACAACTCTGTACTTATTTCAGAAAGTATTGATGATAGTGATATGAGTGCATCAGAAAATCAAGTTGTAGTAATAAAATAAGTTGTTGAGGACCAAGGAGGATAGAAGCAATGAGGGTGAAGGCAGTGATGAAGAATAGGTTGTTGTGGAAGGCAGGCATTTGGGTACATTATTGTATGCCAGCTTGAAAGATGTGATCCATACAACAACCAGAGGTCAGGAAAGATGCCAGTGTCTATTGGCATTACTATACTGACAGGCAGCGATGCTCCATTCATGACTGCACAAGTGAACATCTACTTATCTGTGAGTTGTGTGGGGTACACTGAAAAAGAAGAGTCTTGTTGACTTTCACTTGTGCTACGATAATTGATTTGAAATTCCAAGATTAAACACAATGTTAAAGTTGTTTTAATGCTTTTGAAACACTAAGACATGGTTTTTAGGCAGTGAAATTGCATCCGAATTTGTGTCAAGTTTTAGACATTTCCACGCGCGAGTTCCAAATCAAATAAAGCAGCACAAGAAAAAAAAATTGAATGTTCATAAAGATTTTTAATGTTTTTTGAAACAGTAAGGCCTTTTCACTTCTTTCCAGATAGTGAAAAAGCATTTGATTGTGTGTGAAGTTTCAGACAATTTGCCAAAAATAATTTACCCCAATGGGACAACGTCAGTTATAAATGACGGATCCCTAAAAGGTCAAAGGTCAGATGAAGAAAACAAATTTGGAAAATGATTTTACTCCTAAATATATGTCAAATATAAAGTCAATTATTTTTTAAGCTGTAAATTCACAATTAGTCCTATAGAGGGCTAGACAGGTGGAGCTGGGGGAGGTGGAGGGTTTCAGAGTAAATCAATAATGTACTGCAGGACTAGCTTACAAGCAAGCACATTGTTTGCAGAATCAGCAGAGGTCAATCAGCTTGTGCCTTGTAGTAAATTATGCGATTGGTAGCAGATGCACGTATAGATGCATCAGCCTGCAGCATCTAGAGTTTCATGACTGAAGTAGCTCTTTATTATTAACTCTACACCTAAAATACTACTTTTGGCATTTTTAAATACTAAATAAAGATACTGGCTAAATTTTGAATAGCATACTAATCTTACTATTTCTGCCATATACAACAAATAGTATGCTAGTATGGTATTTTAAATTCAGTAATAATGTATCCTCTTTATAAAACTTTTGATATATGCAACCAGTGTTTTTTTTTTGTTAATGTAAAGATGGTACCTGCTATTGTAGGTTGGGTCTGTGTGTCTAGATGTGCAATATGTTTATCCTACAAGAATTTCACAAGAGTTTGGCAGAATGAGACTTTTTTAAAAATTATTATTTGTGCTGTATCATCCAAGGTTTCACTCTTATACTCCGTGTTTTTTTTTTTTTTTATGTAAAGATGGTACCTGCTATTGTAGGTTGGGTCTGTGTGTCGAGATGTGCAATATGTTTATCCTACAAGAATTTCACAAGAGTTTGGCAGAATGAGACTTTTTTTTAAATTATTATTTGTGCTGTATCATCCAAGGTTTCACTCTTATACTCCTCTTGTGTCAGGTGTGGGTCTAGCTTCTGTGGTTTTGTCCTTCTGGCTTAACATCTATTACATCATCATCATCGCCTGGGCTCTCTATTACCTCTTCAACTCTTTCAAAGCAGTAAGTATCCTTTTTCTTTTCAAAAACCATTCAAAGTGCTCCAAAATGTTTTATTTAGTGTCCAGTTTAAACATTACTCAACATCTACAGTTAGGGAACTCCTCATTAGACAAAAAAAGCACATCGTTAGAAAATGTGGGGTATTTGCTGCCATTTTTGTTTCCTTAATAATTTGATTAACACAAAGATTTCTTAATTGCAATCGTTGGTCAAATAGTTTTTTTCACCCCACCATGCGTGTCTTTATCTAACCCAGTGAATTCAAACACACTTGTCTTAGACTTTCAAAGAATTTCTCAGAATTGCTTCTTCTTTCAAGCTCTCTCTTCCTCCCCGTTTCTCTGTATCTCTCTCCGCCTCCTTGACCCCCTTAAACTCTCTGTGGCTCTGTCTTTGCTCTAGAGAGTGTTTTAAAGGCTCCACAGAAATAATAACTGCCTCTGTTTTGTGGAAATTGAACTGCAGTTTCTGCCATGGGAATAAGAGTTCTCTAAAGCAGTGCAGAGGGAATTGGAAAGAAAACAGGCCTTTGTTTTATGAATGCATTGTGCTATTATTTTTTGAATGCTTTTCATCTGCCATTCATTGCTTTACTCAATTTGCTTTATCCTTTAACTTTATTCTTCACATGGTGGTGTTTGCCAAAGCAAGTATCACTAACTACTATGACTGCACATACTTGGAGATATTTGAACAAACCTCTAATACACATACTTTTTTTTTTTAAATTCTATGTCTGCTCTTCTACTTTGTAAATGTTTTTTGTTTAGTAACCACAATAGCATGTGGTGCTAATAACTACTCAGAACATGGTGAAACTGCATAGCAGCCACATAGTAGCCAACTAAAAAACACTCAGCATGTCTATTAACTATTAGCATCCTAACAGACACCTTAGCAACCGCATAGCAACATAATGTAAGCCACTCAGATTACTTCTATTGTCTTTGAAATATTGCAAACGTATACTGTCAAATTTACTAACAAGCATTTATGGTAAACTAAAATTTACTGTAAGGTTATGTCAACTGAAACTTGTATGTCATTTGCACAATGATGAATTTGCAATTTAGTAAATTTAAAAAGTATTAGCTTTAAATATTATAAATATCGAATACATGACAGTTAACACTACAGTTCAAATTATAATGAATTATTGATTTAGTATGTTAGTCAACACATTAAAATAAGTGTTCTTTTTAAAGCATGACCAAATATCATTAAAACATAATTAAAAAATTGCTTTAAACTAAAACATTAGACATTACACATTGCACGTTTTAATAATGTTAAGAAGCATAGTCATGAATTTGCCATTAAAGCCTTGTTAACGACACTTGAAAGGATTGTTCACCCAAAAATGAAAATTCTGTCATCATTTACTCAAACTGAAGTTGTTCCAAACCTGTATGAATGTCTTTCATCTGTTGAACATAAAATAAGTTTTTTTTGAAGGATGTGTGTATCTAAACAGTTGATGGTTCTCATTGATTTCCATAGTATTTTTCCAGTGAGGACCATCAGCTGTTTGGTTTTATTTTATGAATATTGTAATATCTG